CAAACCGGGATTCATCCTCGCGCAGGGTCTGTCGCCACCAAATGGCACCAGTGGTTCCAAAAACATTGGCCGCTGTTTTGGACCGTCGGTAATGGTTCTCCAAGGTGCTCTCACCACTATCGGCCGTCTCGGTAAATAGCCTTGCCGTGGTTTGTATGTTTAGAGATTCGCCACGATCTTTTCGGTGTCCGTATCGACCTCGTAAACCCAACAGCCAGGATCACGAAACGCTGCACGGGGAGCCAAGATCTTTGCTGGCGAATTACCAGGGGATCTCCGCGGCCGACCTGGTCGATGTAGACGCTTGCGAGATGGGCAAAATCGACCCAGCCCGTGGATGAGATGGGCAGCAACTTTCTGTCGAGGAGTGCGGCATTGGTTGTGATGACATCCTTGAGCTTGGGGCCGCCTAGTTCGTTGGGCACCCCGTGAAGCAGGGGAACTCGAACGCGTCGCAGGCAAAGATTGTCGGTGATCTTGAAAGTCTCCGACACATAATCTGTGGATTCGCTATCAACTCTCTTGAGCGCCTGCTCACGGTCGCTTTGGGCAGATTTCAGCGCGAGGTAGGGGGCAATGATGCCCAACAATGCGACGACGGCGAGGAGGGCAGCAGCCCAGGTGCCGATGGCGGAGACGATATCAAGGGTTGATGGGCCCTCATCTTGGGGGACAGGGAGGTCCATGGCAGGTGCAGTGTGCAGAAACAGCAAGAACAGATAGATAGGCAGGAACATGGAAGGGAAAAAGGCAAGAGACAGGAACGATCGCTCAAGTTAAATGCAAACTTACCCCGCAAAAAAAAAAACAAGACGGAAAGAGTCTTTCAACATTGGTCCAATAGATGGATATTTGTCTCAAGCCATCCTGCTAGTTCTCAACTGAGCTGCAACTTGCAGATCCCACCAGCCGCTTACGAATGCGAGCCTGGACGCCGCATGCATCTTTAAAGATCTTCAAACGTGAAGAAGGTAGAAAAAAAAAGAAGATTTCAAGCGAGAAAAAAAAAGAAGAAAAAAAAAAAAAAAGAAAAGCACACAACGTTCAGGATCCGAGTTAACCAATCACATATCTAAATCAAGGAATTGGGTTATCTAGTAGTCTTTGTGGGAGCCAACAAATGGAAAAAGCTGATGTATATTCTGACAGAATGCCAAGCTATGAAAAAGGTCGCTCTGGACCAGACTAAACCTAGGCGGTCTACATGGACCACCACAAAGGCGGGGCAAATCACCTGGCCCTGCCACAGTCTTGATAACATTTAATTACAATATACTACATCAAGACATTCGATCAGAAATAACCTACTTATCATGCTCATACGCACTTGTAACCGGATATGTAGATTTTTAACTGTAATTCAAGCCATCAAGATAAAAAGAGAAGGAAGGGGAAAATGTGAGACGAAAAATAAGAAGTTAAAACGCTGATGCACATAACCCTAACCCGGCTTCAGTAAACCTCACCCTGTCCCTGTCCCTGTCCCTCCTACTAGATCCTCACGCTCCGAAATTCAAGAGTAAGCCGGCTCAAATCGGTAGTAGTATTCTGCTTCTTGAACCCCCCTCGCTTCTTCCAGTTGCCCTTCTTGCGGGGAAGACTTGTTTGGGTGGTAGTGTCAGTGTTCAAGTTCTTCCCCTGTTCGGCGGTGGCGGCAGGGACCTTTGAAATTGTCTGCGTTCCGGCCGCTTTGGTGGGTTGAAAAGCACGGGATGTATTGTCGTCGGCTGTGGTTTCCGTCGATGCGGCGGATGAAGTTGAACTTTGGCTTGTGGGAAGTGGAATAGCCTCCTCCTCCTCCTCCTCCTCCTCCACAGGGGCTGTTTCGCTGCTAGGCTCGTTGCGCCGATATCGACCCAGCGCTTCTTGGGCTTCGTTTTCGGATTTGAACCCCTTGTAGCAGCAACGCGGGAATCCTTTCACCTGCGCCTCTGCTTCCCTGTTTGGTTGTCATCAAAATGTTAGTCCCGACTTTACACAATGCTGGGTTGGGCAGCTTCTCACGGCCAGTTGGCGTAAACTCCAGGCGCTCTCCCTTCAAAAACCACATAGTAGCCGTATCGGCCCATGTTGGAGGAAACCGATAACACGTTGAATGTTGAAGTCGGTCAAGAGAGTTTGCGGCGGGACGCGCTTGAGAGGAAACCACAGGGGTTGGAGAAAATGTAGCATGATGGGTTGAAGATACAAAGGGACCATAATTTATGCTCATATGAGATCAAATATGAGCGGTCGGCCATTGGGTAGCTATGCCGCATGTTACACAGACGAGGCCCACCACGGCGACCACGCTAAATTGAGGCCTACAGCGCAGATATTATGCATAAAACGGGACAACTCAGGATGCATGGAATATGCAATGTGCCCTTGAACGACTGTCTGACTGGTTCGGGGGTGGTTTAGTTTTTCGGGGCTAATAATATATCGTAATTTATCATACTGAAAGCCTATCTAGACTTCTCTCAGAGAATGCGCATTGGCTCAGGCCTCCATTTCTCGTTCGCGTCTTGCCTTAAACTTGGCAGCCACGTCTTTTCCGGATCGGTGAACAAGACGATGGCCCATTCGTGCTGGTAGCCAGGGGCTCGGCACAGGCACCGTGATGACCTACCCGACAGGTCCAACTTCCATTCGAGTTTCCAGTCGTCCCTCCTGCACCCGAGTTGCGCCCACCGGTGCCTCTGGAACCAGGCCAGATAGTCGTCCCTGCCTGGCGGGGTTTTCAACAGCGCCCAGTCGCTGTGATGCGTGATGGACAGAACATTCTGTAACACGGTCGTGGCCAGCGGGGTGCTGAGAGCCTCTCCGTCCACACCCACCACCTCCTCCCTCCTCCAGTGACGCGACAACATTTTAACCAAAAGCCTTGCGTGTTCATCCTTGATCGTTATGCCTAGACTCTTGCTGACCATTTGGGAAAATTGCATCAGCCCTTGAACACCACCATCATCATCATCGTCGTCGTCCAGCTTGACAACTCCCGAGACAATGCAGGCGTGGAGGACGTCCAAAAGAATGTGAGAAGGGTGCTTGGCGTAGTCGACGCCAAGTTGCTGCTCTGACAAACCGAGAAGACCGTAAACCATGTCACGGGGGTTTGTAGATTCCCTGTGGTTGTGAAGCTCCAGTAAACTTTTCAGGTCAATTTTCCGCTTCTCTTGTGACGCCTTGTGGTATTGATCCCTGCACTTGATGACTGTCAACAGCGCCGGTGCGGTCCGGAGGAACCTCAATCGGAACAACTCAGGGTGATCGAATATGACGCCATTCTTTTCGATCTCCCGCAAATAATCCTCGATCTGCTCTCTATACGGCGCGACCTGTCTCAGTTCATCCCAGGAGAGTTTCTGTCCTCCCTGAATTACGTAGACCTCTTTGGCCAGGACGATCTCTTGAACAATCCACAGCCTGTTCCAGTACGGGTTCCGCCAGATCTCGTCGAGGCCGGACTGAAGGCACTGAAGCTTGTAGATAGCCTGCATGCATTCGGACCGAGTTTCGGACGATCGACTCTGCAAGCCCTGACGAACCAAGAAGGGGCGGCAGGTCGTTATAGTGTCGACCAAATTCCCATTCGAGACCATTTCCATCGCGAAAAGAGTATGCTTTGTCCCTCGACCAAGCCAGACATAAACCCTCTCAGCTGATGAATAGATATCCCGCATCATCATGACCTGATGGTTGCGTTCCTTCGTATTGGACTGGTCAATACAGACGGTATCGATCCAGAAGAGTTCTCCGCGGGAACGTGATCGCATAGCGTCGAGAACCTCCCAGGCACTCTCGGTAACGGTGATAAGCTTCCCGTCAACTTTGAGAGTGCCGCCATCTCCGGAAGCGCCCCACATGTACGATATCGCGGAGAAAGGGATGGGATTGTCGTCCAGTACAATATGGCGGAGGCGGCATTGGACGATGGACGGGTCGTCAGGAAGGACGTCTTGGATCTCAAGGAGCCGGATCTCGCGTTTGCTCGCATCGAGGTCACGGTACACGTGGCAATCAGGTTTCCGTGTCATGTTGTCTTGATCGTGTGTATAACTCCAAAACAACAAAAGAGTATGTTTGCGGTGCAAAGGCCCCAGACGACGTAGGGTTCCCTCAAGGCAAGCCGCAACACCGCTAAGTTTCAAAAGAAAAATAACAAAAGGAAAAAAGCCTTTTGACAACTTTGCTTTGGGCAGCCACAGCTGCGACACGCTAGCACATCCATACTTGGACCAATAAGAAATTTACTTGACGCATTCACAGGATGCAATTGGTCAAGCAAGCAAAGCTCCATCTCAAGATTAAATCCCCAAAATTTAGAAACATAGGTACATACATGAATGCTTTTTCATTATCAATCTTGCTGACATGCCCCTTCCCCTGTATCTACACCTCAGATTGAGCAGCAGGTAGCAACAGTAATTCCCAGTTGAACCCATCCTGTAGTTAAATAACAACCCACATCGCACTCGTGATATCCAACCCACATCTGTAGCCACACACCCTTTCCCGATATCTCTTCAGGCGCCAGTTTAGCCTTAATCATCTCACCCTGAAAACTGAAGCTTGACTGTTTTGTTGAGCGGGATTGACATGATGCGGCTTGGTATGCTGTGAGCTTCTCAAAGCAGGATTGTTATTCCAACAACTTGAAGTCAGTCAGGCGTGGTGGGCAGATTGCCACGCGATCTTTGGAGGCGCTGAGGTACTGTCGACATTGGATGCAAGATATGCCATTATTGGGGTACGTTTGTCGCAACACACTACGTAGGTAATTACGGATCATTGCTGTCGCTTTAAAAAAAGAAAAAAAGAAAAAAAAGAAAAGAAGAAGAAAAAGAATTTCGAAAAATGAGCAAAACCCTTCTCCCAAGTTATTGCATGTAACCTCCCAGTGGAATAAAACGAAAAAAAAAAAAATTGAAAAAAATTCTATCCAATTGGGATGGGAATATATAAACCCAAATCTTCAAACGATATCTCAACAACAGACATGGAAACCCGAAATCAAAGGCAACTTGGCCGAGCGGTCTAAGGCGCCACGTTAAGGAACACAAATCCTTAAAACCTATTCTCTCACAAAAGAATTCCGTGGTCCGAAAGGGCGTGAGTTCGAATCTCACAGTTGTCATTTTCATCATCACACCTGCTTAGTGTGATATCTTTCTTTTGCGTTCTTTCTTTCCTTTTCACTTAAGGTTTGTGTGTGTGGAGTCAGGGTCCACCTCCTCCCTCTGGTGTCCGAACAACGTATCCTTGTCTTCATTTCAAGTTCTGATCGTCGCAAACTTGAGAATTTGTGGATTGATCTGATCAGGAACGTGGGGAGGGAATGGGAGTGGGTGGGTGGTCGCCCAAGTTCAGACGGGATGACCTCACAATGGCTGCAATCCAGGAATGATCACCGCGCGGGTTAGCCAATCACAACTCCAAGCTTTATCTTTTGTACAACTTGCAATGAAGTCATTTTCACCAGCCTCGGCTTCACGATCTTCGTTCTTGAAAGATAAGAAGAGGTCAAATGGAGCATAAATGTCAAGACAAGAAGACAAGCTCATTCCAAGTCCTTGGCTCTCCACAATTAGTTTCTTGTCTCATTCCAGAAATCTAGAACATCATCTTTCAACATTACCACAAGCCGTCCAAAACCAGAAAACAAGCTTTCAACTTCGTTTAGTTACTTATAAAATCTACCAGATGAAACCCACAAGCTCACCGCGCCGTGACCGACGCCGGTCCTTTGGCAGAGGTGGGGCCGGAAACATCCGTATGAATGACCCCTGACCTGTGGCTGATCTGAAGGGGCTTATTTTGCTAACACCAGGTGCATTTGTGTACAGGTACCCAAGCCGAAGAAACAGTGGCTGTCTCACAGATGCAGGGAAAAAGCGACCGCCGAAGCAGCGTAGGCTCAACCACCTCCACGTCCTCGAGCACGGGCAGCAGCAGTCGGCGAGCTTCTCTCAAATTGCTCGACAACATCAAGGGGATTTTTACGACAAAAACACCCAGAGAAGAGAAGGGCAAGTGCGCAAACGTAGTCTAGGGAAAAATCATTTTGGCGTTTTAGGGCATGTTTGACAACAAAGATTGTTTAACTAATGGGACGGGTAAACAAAATTGGAATATTGCCACTTCTAGTAAAGTCTTCCGTCCCATCCCTTTCTCTTTTGCTTTTTTTTCTTTCCTTTTTTTTTTTTTTTTTTTTTTTTTTAATCTTCTCTTAAGTCTTTATCTTCTCCAACCTGTGTGTAGCAGTTATTCAAATCTCGAAAGTCTGCTCTCATACATGATCGTCTTAACTCACCTTGACAATCTCAATATCATCCACGTAAAACGTATTCTCTCCCCCTTGCTTGTTTCCGTACATGGAAAACAGCACATTGCCAAACGAAGCCACCGTGGTAAAAGTCTGCGACGTCCGCACCCACTGCCCCGCCGGCCCACCGAACGTCGGCGCATCGTGCAGGAAGACCATGCCCGCACCAGTAATCTGCATTCTCGACGTAGTAGACGCCGCAGAGTTCTCGCTCCACCACCACCAGGAAGCCTCATATGTCGCACCATACTCCCAGAACACCGTCTTCCTGTACAATCTCGAGGCGCCGTTGGTGTTGTCGAACGCGGCCTTGAGCGCATAGTTGCCCGTGCGCGTCAGATCTGTTGCGATGGAAACCTCAATGGCGCTGTTGCCGGAGGCCGTTTGGAGGTCCCAGGCGACTCCATCCTCGAAACCGCCGTTCTCAAGAACCGAGGTGGGTTGCGGTCCGCTTCCGGTGGCGCACACAGCGGTAGGTTTGCAGTAGACGTCGGCGTTGGCGACGCAGCTGTAGGCGCTTGTTGCCACAAAGGCCGGGCGGGTAGCGTCTGCAAAGCAGGAAGCGATTTCGGGAATCACTGTGCCTACGTTGAAGAAGTTGCGGCAGTTTGTTGCGGCTGCTGTGACAGCTGGGAAGGGGATTGCGGGGGAGCGAGAGAGGGAGGCGCAGGCGGTGGGAATCGAAGGCCAGCAGAGCGAGGGGGAGTAGCTGGTGGTCAGGGAGCATGCGGTGGTGGAGGTCGTCAGCGTCGGGGTAGGAGTGGGAGTGAACGTTGTTTCTTCGGGGGGAAGGTTAAAGGTGGTCTCCTCCTCGGGTGGGCGGGTGATGGAAAGAGAAGTTGTTGAAGGCTCCACGGTCATGGAGGGCTCAGATGCTGTAGTTGACTCCTCGACGCTGGTGGTTCGGGTCGCAGAAAAGACGTTCAGACGATCAACCCCACCGCAGATCTGGCAGTGGCTTCCGGAGCAGAGCAAAGAGCATTCACCCTCGGGACGCTTTTCGGCATCAAGTGACAGGAATGTACCGCAATAGCAGTCCGACGAGTTCTCAACACCAAACCAGTCGTATCCATTGCACTCGGCGGCACACGTCCGAAGCGTCAGCTTATCATCGTGGACGACCTTGTCGGCCAAAGAACGGTTGTCTGGCTGGTCTGTGTAGCATCCCTGGTAGACGAAGTCGCCGAGACCCCTGGGTGTTGTCGCCCGACGAGGAAGTGAGGAAGCATTGGAAAGAGGCGCAGTAGCAATGGCGAAACACAAGGCGAGCGATGCAGCCCGCGTCAAACGGGAATGAGTGGACGCCATTGCTGGCAAGTTGGAATTAGAAGTAGTAAAACGAGTGAATCTGAGTGAGCTGGACACAAAAGGAAGACTCAGGAGTGAGAAGGGGGGCGAAATGGATTTCCTCGTGCCTTTTTTTTTGATACTCTGATGGCTCCACCACACATCCCCGGCTCAGAACGATCCAGACTCGCGGCGATATTGCTGTATACTAAAGCCCGGGAGCGTCCCTGCGGAATTGTCGATAGATCACCTACTAGTGCAAATCGTCAGCGGTTGCTATCGATCATTGGATGGAGTTGTAGTCGAAAGATGGAGATGATGGAGTCCCTGTGGAGTTACCCCTGATGTTCCCGAACAAGCTAAAAAGATGGCATTTTGAATGGGCGTAAAAGATTGTCGATGCTGCCCTCACAGTATGCTTATTAAATATGCTTCATGATTCCCCTTCTTGTTGCTCTTGGAGGATGAACTTCTCACTCAAATATTACCAAGACCGAGATGGTGATCAGGTGTTGGCTGAATAGCTGAATCTGAGCCAATCGAAACTAATAAGTGAGGAAAGCAATTGATTGAATTTGCCATAGTTGAGGTTGGTGGGTTTGGTCGAAGCACTGCCTGGAAAGGTGGGAATGAAGAGAACCAAGGTCCCAGTTTCGGCACCCTGGAACCTGGAAATTGAGACACCCGATTTGCAGCTGCTGCCTTTCCAAACTTTCACAGTTCGATTAATTTTGAGCAACAATGAAATCGAGTTCGCCCTGCTCTCCAATTCGACAAGGATCCCGGTCATGGGGTGAGGCAACCTGCCAGGTAGCCACGTGTTGTCCCATTTCCAGCGCCTTTCTGCCTGCAGTGCCTGCTTGGAGTGACTCACAAGACCCAATTTTAGGCCAATGGTGTCGCATTCCAAAGCACCAACTTCGGCAATCAACAGGGGTTCATTGACTCCCAGGATGACGGCCACCCGGCGGCGACAAAACACACCAATCGATGACTGACCCGGCCAATATAAACAGTTAGACTTGCGTCCCAGATTCTGTCAATTCTGTCAATTGTAGGCACACCAAAGCCGGAGCGCGCCCTTCAATTTTTACCGAACCTTGTTCTCACTTCTCGAATTTTCTCTTCCTCGCACACATTGCACGCAATAGACAATTGTAATAACGCATTTTTTTTTTGTTATAAACCATGGGTCTCGCACTATATCGTTTCCAAGATGAAAGCATATCATCCTTTTCCTCCTCTTTCCTCTCAAGTCTTGAGGAGGGGGGGGACACGGATCTAGACTCTGACTGTCCGCATTACTCTGTCGACTCCTACCACGCAAGAAAACGGTCCCGTCGATCAATTCACTCAAGTTTCAACAGTTCCTTCTCAGACGACGACGACTCCTCACAACAATGGAGTCAAGATTCTACCTCGTCTCGAGACGGTCGCATTTCTACCCTGCCGGAAGGAGTGGAGTCGCAGGAGAGGAGACGTCGACCGCCGAGTCTGGAGAGGCAGGATGCTTTTTGGGATGGAAGGACTGTCAAGAGGAGGTGTAACAAGAGGGGCATTGAGGAGATGGAGAGTCATCATCGCGCAGCAAAAAGGATAAGAAGGAACACCGCCAACACAAACATCAACGACAACGAAGACAACAACACGCGGAGGAAAACATGGAATTTCGAAATGGAACAACCGGAGGAACACAAGGCAATAATATGGATGAACGGTCGGATTATAGAGGAGGCAATTAATTGGGGAATGATTGACGACGACAACAACACGCCCAAAGACCAAGTCAAACACCTGAGTGGTGTTGTTCCATGACGGCTCGTAACAGGTCCGCAAAAAGAGATCCCCGACTGCCGTTGGATCTGACAAGACATGCAGCTGCGTGCTGTGCCCGGATTGGCCCTCAAAAAATGGATGCGGTACACTCGGGAGGTTGACAAAGGCTGGGGAAGGCGTGGACTTCTGGTTTGTGTGCTCGTGGTTACCATGCAGTGCCATGCAAGGTGCCGCTGGAGCTCTCCAGATGATGTAAGATCTTGATCACAAGATGGTGGAGTTCACTGTTCAAATACTAGTTCTGAGAAGTTAATAACCAATGATGATCGACAAGCATTATGCCGTCTCCGCATTTACCCTTGGCCGAGATGCCGGTTATGGTGTGATTAGATATGCCAACTTTGGAAGATGTATCATCATGGTGGCCTAATCATTACTAACCCAATCTATAATACGCTCTTAAAAGACTCTACACCGCCTGTACTTGGTTACAAATCCCAAATCCACGGAGCTTTTGAGCATGTTTCAATTGCATATATGCATGGCGTTTTGTGCAAGTACCGTTATTATTAACTGATGACTGTAATATAAGAACATCCAATCCATCCTGAGTCTCTGTTCAAACCATCACCATCTACCACAAACTATCATGGTATCAACACGCTCCTTCCTCCTCGGAGCGCTGGCTCTTGGAGCCAACGCCCTCCCAACCAATAACATCATCAAAACCCGGGACGATGCTCCCAGCG